GAACTGATATCTGGTCAGTAGAATGGTTTTTCTTGGCGGATGTTTTTTTGTTAGAGTATTTCATGTACTTGTTATAAGCATTTTGCCTCATCCCTAATACTGGTCGTTCGCTAGCATGACGCTCTCTTTCAGCCTACACCGTCTCCACTTTCGAAATGTCATTTTATTTTTATTCCTTCCTGGTTTGAAAAACTCTGGTATTCATCGGAAAATATGAAAAATAAATGAAGGAACATCTCTTGTTGTTAATACCATCAAACACTGGACCGATCGATTTGAAGTCAAAAATTTAGAATCGGAAGACGAATCTCGACCAGGCCTGTGCGGCAACAAAATTTTTTCGGCAATTCGGCAACTCGGCAATTTGCCGAATACTTTTCGGCAACGTTCGGCAACTCGGCAATTGCCGAAAAAAAATTTCGGCAATTTCGGCAACTTTCGGCAATTTTCGGCAACAAAAGTTTTGTGTCTTTTTTTAGTAAAATCGATACGTAACTCACCTGAAAATGCTTCTATCAGGCTCAGAACTACAGAAAATGTGTTTCATAAGTTCCTTAAAAAAGTAATTACAAAAATTGGCAACTCAAGACCACATTTTTTATGCAAACTATTTCTCTTTACCAATAGAGGGTATTCCAATGGTTGAAAATATTTGTTCCGATTGTGAGTTTTGAAAATAGTGCGCTCAACTTGTTAGCAACTCACGACACACGTTCCCTAGAGATTTGAGACAGATTGGACAATTTTTTATCAGATGGTTGCCAAAGAAGAACTAACTCTGGACGTCCTGGAACCTAATTTTCCTATGAAAATGGGGATGGTATGTGTTTGGTGGTCTGTCCAAAGAAGCGGAGACTGGGAACTTTTAGATGAATATACCAATATAACTACCACAATATACAGTTCATAATTAGAGAAATTGAATCTGACAGTCAAATCGAACCAAGGATAAAAGGTCAAGGGTTCTTCCAGCGCGACCATGCGAGATCTCCCGTGATTAGATGGATCAGCCAAAAATTTGTGTCGTTTGGATGAACTATTCTTTTGCACTCACCGTATTTTCTGGACCTTGCCCTTTTGGACGAATGTTCGTTTCAGGCTCTTAAACGTCATCTTGATAGAAAAGACTTCAATTGAAAAGATGATCCCAAAAAGGAGTTGACCCACTTTTTCAATTGCAGCCCTCGTCCTTCTGGGCCGATGGAATCAAGAAATTACCGGAGTGTTGGCAGACAACTATTGATGCTCATGAACATAACTTTCATTGATCTAAGCAGCTCCGCTTCGACAAAAAATTTTATGATCAAAAATTTTACCAAAATCGAAAGAAACTTTTGCATCAACCTAATAGAAGGGTCCCCTTTACAAATTGTTGTTTGAAATTTAAAATTTCCATACGTTTTCAGTGAAACAAGTTCCAGAAATTCTTCAATTTCACAAAAATTAGTTTTAACACTTTTGTTGAAATTGACAGATTTTCATAAGTTTTGAACCAAAATTTGTCGAATTTTTCGATGGAAAAATAGAAGAGCCCTTCTAATAGTGGTTTTACGGTGTTCTAATCATTCTAGAAATGGACTGGGCTCACTTTCGAGATTGCCGCTGAAGAGATGCGTCGTCTCAAATCAACGCCATCTGAAAGAGAGCAAATGAAATTATACGGGCTGTACAAACAAGCTCTTCATGGTGATATTCCGAATGAAGATGTATATCGTAAGTTTTAAAGGTTTTCGAAGATTTAAAATTTTTTAGCTGTTTCCCAAAAGGAGAAACAGAGCCTGGAGCCAGAGAAGTCATCTGCTCTCGCTGAACGCGTATATCTCACAAACTAAAAGTGCTATCAGAAGACTGTCAACTGTAAAGTTGTAGCTCATAAAATTTCCTACATTTTTCTAGTTGACAAATTTGTTCTATTAGGTTGGCGGGAAAGTCTTTGTCACTCTGTTTGTTTAATCACTGTTCTCGTATATGGAGGCTGTGTATGATATCGACTTTAGTGAATAACAAGGTGATAAGAACCTTCCATATAAACAAGTCCCCATCTCCTTCCCTGCTCCTCATCTGTAATTGAAACGATATGTTTGTTCCCACTGCTATTCACATCAGACATGTTTTGATTTACCTCTTCCTATCTCACACCACGATGAAGGATTCGGAAACTTTCTTGAAGAATGTGTACAACACACATGCCCCTCACTACAATACTATTCGCAATTGGTTCCATCGTTTCGAAAAAGATGACTTCTCGCTCGATGAAAAGGATCGCTCTGGGAGACCCCGTGAGTTGGATTTGGACAAGCTGAAGCACGCATTGCAATCGGATCCATTTCAATCTAGCCGTGAACTAGCTGTCACATTCGGAGTTCACCATAGCACAGTCCTTGAAGGTTTGAAGTCTCTTGGAATGAGAAAACTTTTTGGTCGATTCATACGTCATCACCTGACTCAAGCCAACCTTGACC